TATAATCATGACAAGTTCTTACTCTTAAAAACTAATCACAAACACAGAGAGTTTGTTTACTTTTCTATTGTTTCCAAAATAGGTCTAATTTTAGGAGCCACAGTACAAGTAGCAGCATGAAAGCAGACATGATTTAAACAAAATGATGGTCTTCGTTTAGAAATAGGCATATTTTGAGGCTTTATCTCTGCAGCAAAAGGCATGTGTTGCCTGTTATCTCATGAACTGCAAAGGTACAATTACTAAGAAGAGTGCTACATAAGCTTTTCTTCATTAAATATGTGTTTAATGTTATCTTAATGCTGTCAGTTCACACTTAACTGGCATCACTGACATGCAAAGAATATTGTGAGAACACTGACTAGAGATCAGTGAATCCTCTCCAAAGACATTAAGTAGGGTCCAAAAAGTACAACCTTTCACTGTCAAATCACATGTTCTGAAAAACCTGATACATCTGACCTACGTTGACGTTGCTGAGGCGAACAACCTCAGGGCTTTTCTTGTTCTAATTTTATAGCAGAGATGTTTCACATTTTAAAAACAAGGCAGAAAACATGAAAGTAGAATCAGGACATAATGGGCCGCTCACATTATTCATTAGGCCAAAGCCGGCTGAATAGATAATCTGCGTCATCATTAAACCGCTAATAGAGTGCATCTTTCTTGATATCAGACTGTTTATGACCAGAAAACCTGAGAGATGAGTCAGATAGAAAAGCAGTATTTCGAAGTGAGGTCTGGGCCAGTTTGGACCACTGCGTATTTTTCCTGTGATTTGTAGCGCCATTTTATATGAATCAGTTTAGCTTTTGAAACCTTGCTCATATAAATGGTCTAAACAGCACTCTAGTGATGACTAATATGATGGATGTGATGGTCAACTGCATCTGCTGAATTTAGTAGTTAATAATATTTGTTACCATTTCACCAATTTTAGATTTTTCCATTGAAGACAGACTAGCTGGCTAGCTCTCACTGTGCGTTATTTACTTGCCTTAAAACAGTACTACCTAACAGCTGCAAGGAGAGTGAATAAAATAATATGTATCCAATTTATGTGATGTATACACAGAACTCCACAGGACTTCTCAATTTCATGTTTCATAGTAAACCATATCCAGCTAAGGGAAGCGTTAAAAAAAGTATGAATATTAAAACATGTCAAAAAAGCATGTTCTCCTCTATAAAAGTGCAGTTGTACAGTAGTAGCGATCCAGTAAAGGCACAACAATAGCTAAACCTACCATTCTGATACATCATCAGTTCCCCAATTTGGTCTTTTCTTGGTTTGTGATTCTCAGGTTCAAACATATGAAGTCGTATTTCTTTAATACTGGCATTTTATAACAGTGTAGTATGGCAAATGTAATAGCATAGCATAACTAAATAATGGTGGAAAGTAAGGAGTTTGCATTAGGACATGAGGGCATATTCAATTTGCATAATCATGAATATTCAATATCTTTGCAATTTGTTACATGAGAAAGGTGTAGAGATGCTCCTAGTCCATTTTCAGTCATTTATTGGGCATAAACATAAAATTAAATTATATAATTTAACAAATTATTCTTTAACATATAGTATTTTGACTGGTTTATATTACACCTTTACAGGTATGTTAAAGTGTCTGCAAGGAGTTTTACTCACAGGCATTTGAATATCAATGTGACAGTGAAAGTAGTTTAGAGCCCAGAAATCTCAGAGCATGTCATGAAACAACCAGTGGACTGGAACCAGATGAGCAGTGGCAGCAAACAGGTCTGCAAGCTTTATTTCTGCATTATATTGCATAATAAACATTATAATACTTCATTTCTGCATTATATTTCATCACAAATATTATAATAAGCATCAAGTGAAAGCAGAAATGATGACATCAAACAAGTGATTCATCAGAAATAAATAAATAAATACATACATACATACCTGCATACATACATACATACATACCAAAAATAATTAAACATGACATGTTTAACAGGATGAAAACATCAGTTTCAGCACAAAGAAACTATTTAACATTGTTTTGTCTTTTCGATTTTTTCTCCTTTAAGCACACAAAAATCTATGAATGATTTTAGTGAGCACTCTATATATGACGGTAGAAAGTGAGTGCACAAACGTGCAAACATTAGAACAAACTGTAAGCAGAGGGGTGTATAGTGTGTGTTCTAGATGAGAAGGGTCTATAGTGTAAGAAACCTTATCGAATGACAATGAGCAAAGTGAAGAAAGACAGAAAAGATTAGTAGGCAGTGAGATGCTCACACACATCACACTAAAACACTTACATATTCTGAAGCCCACACTGAAAATAAAGACCATTTATCGTTTCCCCCAGAAAGAAACCAGTCACACACGAAAAAAGATGCACTTCTGTATTCTTGCCTTTAAAAGAACTTATTAGAATAAAATTTGAAACATTAGGGGAATTAAATATTTGGGAAAAAACATTAGTAAGCATCCCTGCGATGGACTGGCGATCTGTCCAGGGTGTATCCTGCCTTCTGTCCAATGACAGCTGGGATAGGCTCCAGCACTCCACCGTGACCCAGAAGGATAAGCGGTTTAGATGATATATGTATGTATGTATTAGTAAGCATGGAATGTCAAAGGGGAATTCCACCACTTTTTCAAAATTTTTCAATGGTTCAATTGACAGGATGTAAACAGAGACATTCAAAGTGGTTGGATGTGAAATGTGGTATTGCAGAGAAAATTACTGACTGAAAGTAAGAGTCAAGAGTGTACCGTGCAGTTATAGCTATTTCATTTACTATCCAAAATGACCACTGAACCTTCAAACGTCTTCAGAGTTTTCATATGTATAGTATAATCGTCAAAAAAAATCTGAAAAAAAAAAATAAATAAATAAAAATAAAAATAAAAACTTTCTTTGGGGGCTTTAGAAATTTTGCCTCAAAACACCCCTTGTGTTCCTCCCTGCATGAATGTAAAAAAAAGAAAAAAAGGTACTTTTTATCAAGTTTACTCTCAGAACAATTTCTCAGACATATGGCAGCATATTCATAACCATTTCATGTAATAGCTTTCCCTGAGGTAGCTTTTAGAGACTTTAAACGTCAGGTGTCACCACCACTGTGAACAATTCTGTACTTTTATAATGCTGAATGCTCTATTACTCTGAAAATGGACATATTAACATGTTAACATAATCAGTTAGGGATGTGCCAAAATTTCAGACGCATTTCAGCTGAAAAATGCTATTTGTTCTCTTCGCTCTGCTGCAACAGTCAGCACAGGTGCATTCAAACAGTTTGAGCAGCAGCGGATCAACACTGGACAAAAATGTACACCATACAGAACTATTTCACAGTTTCCATGAAGGACATTAGACAAGCCATGTATTTGCTGTTAATGCCGAGAGTAGAAAGCACAATGCTCAAGGACTTCTTCACTGCAAACATGACAGCCTGCTTAATATGCAGAATACAGCAAAACAACATCAACAAAAAGTCCTGTTAGCACACTGACACCATCTGTAGCTGTAGTTTTTAAAATCACACAAAAAACCCCAAATGATAGTGTGGCACAATATGTAGCCTAAATACTGTAATAAATTTAGTGGATTTATTTTATGTAAAACGGTTTTATTTTTGACTCAGTTTTGTCCTATTGAAAGCAGATTTTATCAATAATGAATCTGTATTTGCTTTAAACTTTGTAAGTTTTTTATAGTTAGTATGTTAACTTATATTTACTAGTTATCAATAAATAAAATTCACAGTAAAAAAACAAACAAAAAACTTTTGGCTTTCACTTAGATGTGTCTTGACTTTAGATTTTGGCCAGTAATTTTCATTTCCAGTTATCAATCAATCAATCAATTAATCAATTGTTATTTTTGCTGTATTGACAAAATGTATTCACTCAAGACACAGCCATGCTGAGAACAGTTGAGGAGATATTCTTAAACATCATGAGTCCAGACATGACTAAAGTAAAACTTTGGCATATTGTTCTTTAAAGGAATGTATCTGAAAATTCAGAATTCCTTATGAAGTATCCTGAATGGCCTGTACATATAAATATTTAACCACTAAAGTTCCAAAACCCATATATGCAAATTTTAGAGTTTATGTGTAATTCAGCCTTTTCTAGATCACTGTACCGGTACAGGCACTCTTCCACTGAAGCTATACATACATCATTTTTATGCATCAAATCATCTGCAATATGGCGATACAATATACCATCTCATTTGTAGCATAAGCACCAAATGAGCAAGCACAAGCAAATCTGTGGGTCCTTTCCTTTAAAGCCTTTTGCCGCTATCCACAGAGATATCATAATAAAAAAAGTGGTCTTGATAGCACGACAGGAGTCAGAGATCAGCTCAGAGATCTATGAGTCAGGAGGAAATAAACTCTTCCATTCTAGCTTCTGTTACTCTGTGTCAGTAATTCAGAGAATATTCTGACAGTTAGGCAAAACTAACGTGAGAGTGCTATCTTGTAAACGAGACCACAATCATGACTATAGCCCAAAGTATATCAGAACAGCAGGCAAAAGTGGGGTGAAAGTTAACAGGTTAGCAGAAATATAGTTCTCAGTTTGTATAAAATTAAAACAGGATAACAGAGAGAATCGCAGACATTTCTCTTTCTTCTTCAGAAATATACACATGTATAGACTTTCATGTCCTCAAGTATTTGTATTTAAGTTCTCTAAGCTCTATTGCACCATCAGCTCTATCAGTTTGACTAGTATAGTTGCAACTTGTCATTTAGCATGAAAAATAGTGCAAAAAAAAATACAGAACAGCAGAGATATGCCATTCATCTTCATAAATATATGATTGTGAGCACCCTGTCTTTACTTTAAGCAATCGATTTGACCATTTCATGTTTGGCCTCCATCACTCCTCTAGGAAACCATTCTGATTTTCTAAAACCTCTTGTATACCATCATCAGCTTGACCAGCATCTTTAGTGCACCCAGTCCTTCAAGTGTCTCTCTCTGCTTGTTCTCATCTCTCACTCGGTCTCACTGTCCTTCTCCCTCTCCCGCTGCCTCTCTCTCTGTCTTTCCGTCTCCGTCTCTCGCTCACTCTCGCAGAGTGGTGCTTGGCAGCCTGTGCCAAAGCAGCAGAGGATCTCCTTGAAGGTTTTCCTCATCTCAAGGCTGCGGAAAGCATAGATGATTGGATCGATGACAGAGTTGCACATGATGAGCACCAGGTAGGTGGTGAAGTGGGACATGTAACACAGGCAGAGCGGGTGCTGGGGGCAGGCCACAAGCAGGATGAGGTGCAAGAAGAACGGCGCCCAGCAGCACACGAATACGCCCAGCAGGATGGTGATGGTCACTGCGCCCTTCATGCAGGTGTGTTGCCGCGGTGCTGGGTTGCCACCAGCGACAGCTGCTGGGGGCAGAGCAGCAATACGCTGAACGTGGAGCCTGGCCAAGAGGAACATGTGCACGTAGAGAGTGGCCATCAAGGCTAGCATGGCAAAGAACATGGTGATCAGACAAATAATGACAGTTTTGCTCTCTGAGTAAACGATAAAGACGATTCCACAAATGATGCACACCAGCCAGATTGCAGCGATGGCATTCAAAGCTCTCCGTACAGTCACAATGCTGTGGTAGCGCAAAGCGTAAAAGATGGTAACATAGCGGTCAACGGCAATGGCCAGGAGGTTGCAGATAGACGCCACCAGCGAGATGCAGATCATGGAGTCGAAGATGTTGTCCATCAACCTCACGAAATAATCGCTCAGTTCCAGGAGGTTGCTCCTCAAGACCGCGATCACGATCGTCTCTAGGGAATTAGAGACGCTAACTAGCATGTCCGCGGCCGCTAAGCTACAGAGGAAAAAGTACATGGGTGAATGGAGGTTCTTGTTCTTTGCCACCGCTGAAATCACCAGGATGTTCTCCAGCAGGCTGACGATGCCCAGGGTGAGGAAAACCTCCGCCTGGATTTGAACCTGCTGGCACAGCGCCCCCGCTGGCGGAGGAGCTGTACTGCTGTTCGAAAGCCAAGATGGTGCAGTTCCATTGCCAGATTCTGCTTCTGTGGAGTTGATCTGAGAGCTTTCCTGCGGGAGAATCACGTGTCTGAAAGAGCCGTTCATCGGGAGCCACCAAGCGATAGAAGTAGGTGGAAAAATAGAGTCAAAAAAAAGAGAGAAATAATGGCAAGAAAGAGGGCAGAGAAAAAGGTAATGTGTAAACACAGAAAGAAAAAATAAAGTAAAACAGAAGAAGAGTGAAAGAATAGAGAGTCAGGAGAAAAAGCAAGAGAAAAGAGAATGATGAAATAGAAGAGAAAGAGGAGAGGAAAAACAACAGAACAGAACAGCCAGAGAGACAAAAAATCAGAGATTGAGAACAAAAAGAGGAAGACAGAGGGATAATAAGGAGCGATGGAAATTGAAGAGTGAACACATAAATAACTAGCGAAAAATGAATGAGAATAAAAGAGAAAGAGGAGTAAAAGATGGAAACTTTGAAGGTTGAAAAGAAAATAAAAATACTATTAAGTAAAAGAAAACAGAGAGAGGAAACAGAGAGATACAAAGAGCCAGAAAGAGAGAGAGAGAGAGAGAGAGAGAGAGAGAGAGAGAGAGAGAGAGACTGAAGTTGATGATGGTAAAATGATAGAAGAAGACGACAGAATGTGAATGATGAAGCTGAAATGATTGAAATGGTCCAGTGGTCTAGTTGAAAAGTCCTCCTGCACTGTTCTCCATCAGGTCCTCTTGATGTAGTGATGCTGTCGTACTCTGAGCCTGTGACTCAATCTCTCACTGCCTGACCCTGCTACAGACTCTCTCTTTCTCTCTCTCTCTCTCCCCCTCTCTAGTGGGTGTGTGTTTGCTGAGTGTGTGTTGCAGGTGTGTGTTGAATGTGTGCGAGAGGGAGGTGTCTCTGTCCTTGGTGAGATGAATGTGCGGTGTGTTTATAAATGAAAGAGAGTGGGAGAAAGATAAAGAGCAAGGAATGTGAAAGTCAAGTGGGCGCTAATTAAATTCTTATAATATAACACAATAATCTTTATTCATGTAACACTTTTCAAAACAGCTTCACAAAGTGCTTTACAGAAAATAAAAGAATAAAAAATAATAAAAGGCTAATGAGGTGACAAGTCTAATAAATGCACTTATAAGTCAGCTTTCAGTAAACATGCTGATAAAAATGATGTATTTTGTATTGTAATATGTTGATGTGAAATAAATGATAAAATATAACATAGCAATGTTATATTTTACTAACTATATGTATATAGACTGACCACCCTAGAGTCCAGACCTCAACATCATTAAATGTGTTTGGGATTACTTGCATCATGAGAAACAGAAAATGCAACCAACTTGTAAGACTGGACTTTGTGTCTCCTGATAAGTGTAGAAGCTGTTCCACTGAAAAATGAGTAAGTTGTGCTTAAAGGCACAGTATACGATTCTGGAGATCGATTGTTGATATTTGAACTCAACAGCAAAACAAATACATCCCTCCCTTCAGTGCTCTTCAGGAGCTCTGCCCCCAAATTCATGGATGCACATTACCAAGGCGAAAGCCACCAGGCTAGCAAATTCATTTTCTAGGTCTTCATGGCCATAAAACCCTTCACAAATGTTTTACAGACAAATACCATGATAAAATGTTAAAGCGAACAACCACACAGCAAGTAATGTAACTAACGTTAGCTAGGATGTTGGTTAGCAAACCATTGATACAATTGCTGCTGTGGAGCCAATCAGTTGCTATCACAAGCATTAGCAAACAGAACAAAAACTACTGATGTATTGGTTCAGTGAAGCAGCAAAAACAAGTTAACGTATCCCGCCTGTCAAGCAGGAGCAACCTGCTCTTCCCTTTTATGCCTTTCAGCTCTTGGTTTTAACTCTCGGTGAAGTTTCTTTTTACCAGCTCCTTGTTCAAAATTTCCCTTTTCATCTTGAATGGTGCAACAGTTGGACTATATTCAGGTGCCTCAGCTTCTTGTTCAAATTTTTCCGTTCTACGTTATATGATACAGCAGTTACACTCAGGTGCACCGGAATGGAACTGCAGCATGATTTAAGGTGGAATGTGAAAATGTAAATAGGAAGCCAATTTAAGCCACGTCAACTTTCAGAGGTCTCTCCACTGCTGAAATTCACTCTACCTCTAAAATGCTTCACCAATGTTAATATGGGTCTTCGCCCTTTCTCGATCTAAGAACTTCTTTGTCGATCTTTGCTCTTCACCTTGTCTCCTCTTTGGCTGTTTCTATCTTTCCTTCTTGACACTGCGTGGAGTCAAAGTTCAGCAAGTGGCCCCTCCCATTTCCCCCCCTTGTCCTGTGCATGAGCATGAATGCTCCTGTCGCTGGTTTTGTTTATTTCCCATTTACAGAGCTAGGGCTGTGTAAGAACACCATAATTTTTCCAGCACACACATAGAACTAGCTAGCGGACCATAAGAAGAAATACAAGACAAAAAGTGCATTGAATTGAAATTGTATACTGCGCCTTTAATGGTCAAAAGTAGGTAAACTGAAAGACTGAATTATGTTAATGTAATATGTTTTATTCATGTGAAAATAATGGAAATGGTGTACATGTGAATCAAGTAAATTAAATGCATCACTTTTTTCAGTGCATATACACCCACATATACACAAGCTGTAGACCTTGGCTAAGGTAAGAATAAACTCATCTTACCTGACTTTTACTGACTTTCTACTGTAAACTGCAATTTTGCTGTTACAGCTGTACCCCCAACATGAAAAGCATAAAAAATATGACTCAGATTTTTATAAATAAGATATTTTCTAAAGCTCCATGAGAGCTTACAAAGTACAAAAAAAGCCTGATTTCCTTTACATCCATAAAGCCCACAAATGTGGCAAAAGCTGTGGCAGAGCACAAAACACAGTGATGACAAGACTGCAAAAGAGCAATATTAAATATATTAATAATTATAATATTGTATATGTGCAGTTTGGTTACATCATTAATGTTTGTGAGTCAGTTTTGACCCTGTATGGCTAAATCAGCTCAGAACAGTCCTAGAAGATATGTCACTGTACAATTTCATTCGACTCTACTTTACTGTTCATAATTACTTTATTTACCTTAAAATAAGACATTCATTTTTCACAAAACACATATTGTAGAGCATTTTATGAGTTTAAATTGCTACTGTGATGTAGGAGCCATATCATCTATTTGATTATCTCATGTATGTACGTCACAGATATTTTACTTGTGCTGATTGGCAACACATTATGAATAAATTTACAAATTTTATGTTACAGGTCAAAATTGACCCTTACAAATTAAAACCAAAAACCAGTTATCAAGTTATCAATTTTCTCCTGAAGAAAACTTTGACACTGGTCACTGTTAGTGGGCCCTGGGGTCAATCTGATTATATTCTGAAGTGGGATGAGGACCATGTTATTTGGACATTTTTTTTTACATGAACGCCACCCTGTCCTGATCAAAGGATAATTCTCATGCTCTGAATTGATTTCAACACTGTCCTCTGTTTCAGATGTCTCCTTGATACTGATAGATGTAAATCTTGATACTGTACATGACATGATAACTGTATGCGTGTGTGTTTGCGTGTGTCTTTATGTGTATATGTGTGTGTGTTTATGTGTGTGAGAAAAAGATAGAAAAACAGGGAGAGAGATAGACTGAGTGTGTGTGTGAGTCTGTTGTATGAGTGGGTGTGTGCAAAATCATACAGGTTATTGTCATAAACTTGATGTGCACTCTATATTGTCCCTCTTCTGATAGGTCTGTATTATGCATTCCTGTGAGAAATATTTACTTTCAATGGACAGTGTGTGTGTGTGTGTGTGTGTGTGTGTGTGTGTGTGTATGCGTGTGTGTATACCAGGTTTATGCTGCATTGCTGGGAACCAAAACCTGTTTATACACTCACGTTGTGGGGACCTTTCTTCCTTGCAAATCATTACATTTGAATGTGAAGACATGTTTTAAGATTGGGGTGAGGTTAAGATTAGAGTTAGGATTAAAATAAAGGTTAGGGCTAGGCTAGTAGTAATGGCTAAGGTTTGGGTAAGTCTCCAGGAAATGAACGGAAATCTATGTAATGTCTCCACAATTCACAGAAACAAACGTGCGTGTGCTTTTCTTGCTATCCTTGTGAGATTATAGGACAACAGGACAATTTTTTGCAAGTGTGGACATTTTGCTGTTTTTTCCGTTTTCCTATCTGCAAAATTCTGGTGCCGGTGTAAAATGCGTTTGTTCATTTTATCATGTAGACCCATCTACACATCAGAGTTTAATTAAGAATTCACAGGAATTAGTGTCACTGCAGGACACAGTTTTCAAATAGACTTGCTTAGGCAGTCAAACAAAATGTATTGTTCTGCCGATAATGTCAGTGGATATTAAGGTTCTGTGGGTTTATTCTTATGTTAACTCGGCAGAAATCCTGCTCACAAAGCACCGATAAAGTCTCTTTGAACAACAATTAGAAGTAATGTCTAATGGCTGCTAAAGGGACTCTTTTTGAAAGCTCATGGTATTATTTGTTTGGTAATACTTTACTGTAGGCCAGTGTTCATAAGGCAATATGATATCCCCATAAGCCCTTCATGACAACCGACATAGACATACATAAACATCTATAAAGGCTCATGCCAATAGATGCTATTTGTCACAGAGATTGCATTTGCTATCAATGTCAGGTGGCATTGATTGTTTTCTGATGTTTGTGTCCAGAAACCTTTTTGGGTGAAATGACATAGACTTTGTAACTCGGCATTTTCCACAGTGACACAATGCTGATAATATGACAGCTTGCCAAGTCAGGCTCGTTAAAAAGTGAGTGTTTTCTGCTGCCATTAGGTAAAGTGAGTCTCATTTTATTTCTCATTGGATGTAAGCTAAGTCCTTTCATCAGCATTACACTCTCTGTTGTGCTATGCTACGTAACTTCACCCCAAAAAAGTGTCATGTCAGTGTCCAATGTCCAAAGTAAAAAAAAAAAATCGGTCACCTAACATAGGTGTTATTTTAACTTGACATCATAGTTGATAAAAGCAGTCATTAACAGCAATGCCTACTGGAATAAGCCTTAATAAATCTTTATGAGGGTTTATGAC